GGTAGAACAGGTTGAATCGGAACGTGTGTCTGTGTTCGCTCCAGTCGAATTGGAGTCTGAGGCGCTTGTAGAGACTGCAGCACAACACGGAACGGAACGTTGGTTTGAGCGTGTCGGTGAGATGAGGCGGAATATGGTGAGTTGGTGAAGGCGTATTTGAGGTGAGACGAAGTCGAGTCGGCAGTCGAAGTGTTCGGTGAGACATTGGGCAAGTTGAAGCGGACGTAGAAAGTGAAGTGGTAGAACAGGTTGAATCGGAACGTGTGTCTGTGTTCGCTCCAGTCGAATTGGAGTCTGAGGCGCTTGTAGAGACTGCAGCACAACTCAATCGGGAACGCTTGTTAGAACATGTTTGTCATGTTAGTGTTGATAATTTTTCCAGTGATTCGTCGGGGAATATTATTTCCGCTAATTTTACTTCTCCTTCTGACGTCTTGATTTTGAATACTTCAACTTCGTTTACCATGTCAGATTCTTCTACTTCTTGCATTTGTTCTGATTCTTTAGATGTTTTTTCGAATATATCTTTTATTCATGGTGTTTTCCGTTGTCCGTCTGCTATTTCTCTCACTAGTTCTTACTCTGAATCTCCTGTTTCTCCTGCTTCTTCCTCTACTGTTACATTTTGTCATGGTTTTTCTTCTTCGCCTGTTGTTTCTTTCGTTCATTCCAATTTGTCGAACAATATTTCTTTTTCACCCTCTTCCTCGCGTTTCGTTCACGCTGGTGTTTCTGACTTTACTCGTATGCCTTTAGATTCTGTGTCTTTATTTGATTCAAATAATTCTGCGTTGGTATCTGAAGGCTTATTTCTTGGTCTCAGTCAATTTGTTTCCCGTTCAACGGAGTCTTTCTCCGAATTTCCTGGCTTTGTTATAGAAGACAGTGTTATTGCTGTTGATGCTCCCGACGGTTGTTTCACTACCTACTCTGGAGAAAATCTTGGAGAGTTCTCTGACTGTCAGAAGGCTGGGTTATCTTCTGTGCATGATGTTTCTACGGAATCTGTGCCTTTCTTTATACCTGAACCTTCAGTTCTTGCTGTCTCTGGATATGAATACAAATCATTAGATGAACTTGGATCAAGCAACAGGTTACCATCTATTGTTCAGGACACTGCAAATGTAGTTGGTTTAGATGATATTCAGGAAGTATCTGAGGAGGGCGTTATGGGTAAAGATTCTTTAATAACCGATGACCGAATTGTTTCGCAGACTTCTGGCTCACATTTAATTGACCATTTCGCTTTTCAACGTGATACTGAATATAGCATTTCGGACTATTCAAATAGCTTAATAAGTGATAGTTTTGCTGAAATGATTATTAAAGAACCAAACGACGATACTGAAATCTTGTATTCATCTAAGGAACAGGATGTACTAAGTTATCAGCTTGAGTCAGGTGTGTCATTAATAACCGAAACACCTACAAAGTCAGATGTTGTAGGTAAATCTCCTTCCTCAGGAAAAGCTGACTTGACTTATCTTGCAGCAGCATCAGGAGCAAGTGTAGCTATGGAATTTACAGAAGAGGAAGAGGAAGAAGAAGAATACTCCATAGTGTGTCCTGGTAGGATGAAAACAACTGAACATGGTGATTCTAGTCAATTAGTTCATTCAGCCCTTGATAGGTCTGCCAAAATGCTTACTCGTCTTCAAACCTATGGATTTCGAGGGAATTTGATGGGTACAAACTCGCTTGTTAATCTTAATTGGCATGCATCAGAAACAAAATTAACCACTCCACACAAAGAATTCTTTGAAAATGATGAGAGGACTATTTCGACAGCCCATCGAAATATACCTACATCAAACATACAGATGAATAAAGTCATAGAGCTTGATCGTGAAGAATTTGAGGACTTTGATGGTGATAGCCTTGAAGAATTCAATATGCCATTTGAAATTGGTAATACTTATAACACATCACGTGAAATAATTGCAGATGAAACTGAGTGTGGAAGCACTAGACCGTCCTCCATCCCTGAAATTGTTGCTAGGAATCAAGTCTTCAATTATGACAATCAGTTAAAATCTGATATACAGTGTCAGCCAGACTCTTTTACTAAAAAAGAAATATCTAGATGTCAACATTTAGATTTGGAACATGTAATCTCTTCTCAATCCAGTTCCACTAAAAAAGTTTCATCCAGCCCAGAAAATGAATTACAGACAAGTTCCACTGCAGATGAATCTAGTCTAAGCAGTCACTCGACAGTTGTGAATGTTGGAATAATGAACCAACCACCAGTTGTCCCTCAACTTATAAGGAGAAATCTGAAGGACGAAAAGCTATCGTCTCAGAGTTTATCATCTCAAGGACATGATTTTGGTGTAGATGCACCCGATAGTATTCAGCTACTGGAGTCAAGAACCACTCTAGCGTCTATTGAAAGCGATCTTGATCTTCTTGATGAGGAAATAAAGCTAAAAGATGATAATGTTATGTTGCCACCTGGTCAGAGTTTGGTTCACGTATCTAGTATCCCTAAAAGAAAGCAGTTAAATTTTATATCTAGCCTATTAGGATCAGAGCCTGTGATAGGAAGTACTGTATTACGAACATCTACAGATGTCAGTAACATTCCAGTATCACAACCCATCTATACTACTGAAGGACATATCAATACAACACAACGCTACTTTCATGAACCAATTGAGGGACATGTCAGTTTTCCACAAATTTCAAAGGGTTCTTGTGATAAGCAGTTAGAATTTCCTAATGATCGGGCTAAATCCTCTCCATCCAGTATTAATTTGGAAAAAAGAATAAAAACAAGTGATGAGAATGTCACCAGTAGCTCATTGTCCGAATTTGAACGACTAGAAAAAGAATTGGGTACTAGCAATCCTACTTCTCCTAGTAGTGGTCATAAAGGAAGCGGTGAAGATGTCAGCTCACACACGTCATCACTTTCTGAGTATCTACGTCATGAAAAAGAATGTGAAAGTTTCGATGAAAGTTTGGCATTACCATTTGACTCAAAACTTAAACTAAAATTCAACGATTTAATAGATATAAATGGTAAACCAAAAACAGCGATCACAGAAATGTTAACTTCGAATAACCTAACACCTCTTTATGGACAAATCTCAACGATTTACGAAGATGTGGCGGAACATCATATAAGTTCACTCTCACAGAGTATAGAATCTCCAACAACTTCACTTCATTCAGCCAAAGATGATGATCAAATATCATTTACATACGCAAGTCAAAAAGATGAAAATAAATCACAGACCGGTTGTTCGGATTCTGAACTTTTAATAATATGTTCGAAAATGCTCAGTGATCCTTTACAGGTCGAAAAATCTAAAGGAAGTTTAACTTCTAGTTCAGAAATAGAACCTTTGCTAGACAGGGTCGATGATCCAATGACAGGAGTAGAAGAAACTGATTCACTAATTTTTTCTTCGATCTATGACTCTTTAGTGCCTTCTGGCTATGAAAACAGTATATATAATGGAACACCGAACATGAATTTTGGAGTAAACGATAACTGGAGAGACCCCATGTCCCGCAGAATAGATTCATTAGATGAAAGCGAACATGAACAACCCAGTAAAGTTACTGACTCTCTGTGCTCCCCTTCATCGTCAGATATTTCAAACAGGAAAAGAGAAAACAAATTAAGTTCACTGGGAGAAAATGATCAAGGTATAACAGAATTTAATTCTGCCCATATAGATATCTTACATCAACAATACATTGGAACTATTGTGGAGGAACAGTCTTGTACAGTATTTCCAAATAAACCTTATTTTAATGAGAGAGACAGTCTTATTACTTATGGAAAACAGCCTCAATCAACGCATTCTGATGAAAAACAAGACTCAATTACATCCGTGTCAGGAGTTGTACAGTATGAACACCTTGATAAACCAGTACCTGGAAGTTGTATGACAGACTCATTAGATGACAGCGGTTCAGTTATAGAACAAATAAGTGCTAAAATATCTTCGACTGAGTGTTCAGTGTCCACTAAGATGATAACAACAAGAATACCTTCTTGTTCGTTCTCTACAGCACAAATCCCCCTATTAGCTACTGAATCTAAAGCACGTATGTACTCTGAAGTTATAAAAACACTTAAAAGTGACGTTTCTTCAACTGTGCCTACCACATCTGGAGAAATAACTCTTCCAATGAGTAGTAGTTCCTTACAAAGTTCATATCAAGATGGTGAAAAATGTGGTCGTATTTTAAAAATAGATTTGAATCCTGAGTCACCTTTATTTGATACTTCGGAAGATGAAATTTGTGTGGAAAAACCATCAGATGATCTTCAGCAACTGAACAGTCTAACAACCGATGACGTTTCAGCTGTAACTGGGGATCCAAAAACGAAAGAAACTCTAAAAATGGATAATGTACCGTCGGAAGAAGTTAGTGAGGCATGTAAACAAATTGAATCTATAGAGCTCAAAGAGTCGTTCATAGTTGAAACTTCCTCCGACTTAGATTATGAAATGATCAGTATCACTGAGAGAGAAAAGTCACCAAAAGCTCCCATGTCAGAAAAAACTGAAGAAGGGTAACAAACAAGAGTGAAATAGAAAGAAAATAACAATCTTAATTGTAGTTTGAATGGAATTATTTAGCTTTCTTCATATTATGCTAACATAAGCGTACCCACTTTATTAATTCTGTCTTTTTATGTCAGATTTACAAAGCATTTATTTTCCTACCTACTATTACTGTTATGGTTACTGTCCTTATTGTTATTTTTTTTGCATTTCCTTCCTTTAAATTCATTTATATTCAGACATAAGCATATTTAAAATTCCTAGTACTTATCTGTTTATCGACGCGTAAGATACATATTTCAAAACTTTTGTCTATGGAAATAAAGTAAAAGTAGAAAAAAGCATAAAATATTTCTGGTTTGTACATACACAGACACATGGATACGATAGTACGTACCCCAAGCATATTTTTACACATAAAATAGCCTTTTGTGATACATTGGAATTTGCTAAACTGAACTTCAATATTGGTCGACTACAGTGGATTGATAAATCTGGATATGATTGGTACCCATTCTTTAGAAGCAATTTTTCAACATACGAAAATCAAAGGTATTCATAATTTCTTTCGTTTTTTACCAATATTATTTTCCTTATGCTTTAGCTGCATTTGTAAGGCATGTTTGTGATTTTTGTCTCATCAGTTTCTCATTCGGTCTACAGCACAAACAATGAACAAAACTATATTTTATGTAATGTAGATAAGTTCGAAATATGCATGCGATACAAATCTAGTGTGAAGTACGTTTAGATTTAATACGCATGTTTTAATTAATGAATGGATTTACTAACCATTGACACCCATCTTTTCTCATATCACTCCTCAGCAGACTACTCAATGGAATCTGAAAGGAAACAATAGTAGTCAAACTGATTTTATTCATAACGTTATCACAAAATTAATAGTATAACTGAAGTTTTTATCTCAGAAGGGAAAGTATTTCACAACTGTATATCTAATGGTGAATTAGATCAATATCGAATTTATAATTAGTTTGAAGATTTATAGACTGATTATTTGGAACATAGTTTATATTATCAGAATTTTAATCTGCTTTTCTTCAGTTATGAGGATCTTGATATTCTAAGCACTAAATTTCATCCGGGATGCAAGACTGATAACTTGAGATAGAGCAAAAAGGCTTGACAACTAAGTCAGAATCCGTTGATCAGCACTTTGTGCCTGCAATCGGTTTATGTCACAGCTCACCTAACTATAAACTCCACAAGCAAGCAGTTGTTTGTATTCCTGAATCTGAACTTCTGCATTTCAAAGATTCCTGTTAAAAAAAAATATTAAAATGACTGAGATTTCGGTAACAAAAACTGTTTTCAGATTAGAATATTGGTTCACACGTCTAAATGTTCTTATGGTTGAATATAATTTTAACCATTGTACTAATCTACCAAAAATTGATTTGTCTGTATAAATCTTCCACACTGACCTTTTACAAGATGTAAATTAAACAAAATGTAAAAGCGTTTGTTATTTTCGAGATTCAGCATATGAGTGAACATAGTTTTCATCACATTTAACCTTCATGTTGTCACACAGGAGGTGGTTAGCTTTTTATTGATACTGCGAATGGATTTTCTTGATATGTCGAAACATTGAATAGGTTTACATCAACTCACTCTCCAAAATATAATGACCCTCTTTAAGCCTTGAACAGTTTACTATAGATTCATGAATATAAGGTCCGAAACCAAATCATCTCCTTGTCAATAATGTTCAGTCCTCACCATGTTTTGTTTGACAATGACGATCTCCAAAATACTTAAGAAAGAACCTGTATTTTGAAGAAGAGCATGAAAATGAGCTAACAGTTCCGGTCGAACCAAAATTACACTATTTATTCCACACCATATTAATTTCGAAAACTTAAATCTAAGTCGATTCTTGAAGTTATTAACTGGCCATAGACCTCAGAAGGTCTGCATCACTAACAGCATTTACGTAATAACACAATCACCTATAAAGCTGTTTTTTCTGCTGTTCCATTGTATCCGATTGTGCAATCACTTGGCGACTACGTGGCAAGTGATAGTCTTTTCATCCAAACGTTTAGACTTCCATGGCAAACCGTGATGAATAAATGTGTTTCTACTGTCTCACTACAGTGTGTGATAAGAAAAACCCTGGGCTAACGAATAAATAACTTTTGTGTTGATTTACTTAACTTTGTTTATGATCGGATTTTTATTACTTCATTTCAAATCCTGTCTGAGTGACGTAAAACCTATTGATGATGAATGCTGACTTGGCAAGATATTCTTGAGGAATCTTAGTAAGAATGTAAATTATTTTTACGTACAAAAAGTAGCTTTACTGGGAAACTGAACATTCTCTCTAACGAATGAGTGGATATTCTACTGAAATAAGAATTGCTTTTGGAAATGAGCCCTCTTTCTTGCCACTCGGTTAAAAACACAGAAAAGCTTCTTATCCTCATATTTTACATATTCATTTTAAGAATTTGACTGAACAAATATAAAAATAAATAATTGCTTTTTCAGGGGGCTCTTATGTGAAAAAATCTCGTGTAAATATTAAAAGTAAAGCCATTTGTTATGAAAGTGAATCTTAATATTACTTTCTTAGACAACTCGTTGTATTCTTAGAAGCTATTTTGCTTGACTCTCGAAATTTTTAGGAATGTCCATCTGAATATTACCAAAATACGAAGCGGATATAACGGAAGGTTTACAATATTTTTCCTCTCTACGTTAAGATTAATCACTTTATATTAGAACCAGGATTTGAGACCCAAAGTGGAGAACCAGATTAACACTAAAGAATACTTCATTCAATACAATCACAAACAGTCACACACAGTGAGTCCAGAGTAGAAATCAGTGATAAAAACGAAAATCACATATTTAATAGTCCGTAAGCTGTGGCTGTTTGTCCAGGCTCAATGACCAATCATACTTTACTTTCACTACCACACACCAGAAACGAGCATCCTCACACTTTCTAACTAGTTTAGTTCGGATCTAAGAGCCAATAAAAAGAACTTGTGTGATCTGATAAGAAAAAAATATTCCTAAGTTGGCTGGTCTTCGTTCAAAACCAAACAATCCTTCTATCCATGGAATTCCATCTAATACCGCCGTATCACACATAATCGAAGAGATAAATTTATTTGGGATGTAGGACGTTTACATGTAGCCTCGAATCTATAACTAAGCATTGTTTTGTTAAGTAATCGAATTTTTTATAGTTCTACTTTCTGTGTTATTTCCAGCATTTTGAATGATTACAGTTACACAATTCGCAGAAAATTACAGGATATTCAATGTCTCCGACTTCTACAAAAATTTGAAAAAGGTTCAAGAAAAACAGAAGCTTTACTATGCTACTTAATAGTAATATTATTATATAAAATTCTTAGACAGTAATGCATGTCTATACGTGTATTTTTTTAAAATGACTTTTATCGAATTCAACGGGAAAAAAACCGTTCGTACTATCTAACGCACAATCTCTTAGTCACTAAACAAGCTGGTCAAATCTCACTGAAGTCGTCAAAACTAGAGATCACAAAACATGTTTGCAAAAAAATATTTCTATATTATTCAACTGAAATCTGCTTCACCTCCGTTTGCATTACATGATGTTGATTATTCCTAAAATGTCAGTCCATGATGAGAGATTTATTTGTACTCAAAATTTAATCTAAAGAAAATAATCGCATCATTAAAATACCTCATTATTTGTTGAACCTTTGAGATTGTCTCATTCTAATACTCTGGATAAGCTTAGTTAAAAAGTAAGCAGATTTAACGAAAAATCATAAAGGTAGAAGAAAACTTAAACTGCACCCAACATCTTTACTAAACCATCTACTCCAACGTAATTTAACACACAACTAAACATGACGAAATGTGCATGCTTTATTTGAATTATCACATTTGCATTCATCTACTTCACTACCCGTTACTGCAAACACTCACAAAGATTGTGTTACTCTGTTTAATATGTTTCAGGTTTTCTTGTTTTCTCATCATTTCCTCATCTAATTTGTCCTTTTAATCACTTCATATTAGTATTTGTGTTCGAGTTTGAAATAATTTTAATCAGAAAACCCTATGAAAAACCATTTGTGCCATCAAAAATATGCTTACTCATTGTGTCATCTGTTCCGAAGTTCCTCTGAGGAATGTATCTTTTATACCTCTCATTCTCTCATGGAATACGAAAAACAGAAAGCCTCTTCATTTTCCTATTCATACGAAGTGAATTTTGTCTTGAATTCATTTTTATTTGCAATTTCAACTGTCCGCTTTTGGATGTTTTTTTCATTTCTGGTTTCAATTCACTTGTCTATTTTTATCTCCCCAACTATTTACGTAAAATGCTTTTTGTGTTTGCTTTTTAAAATTTGTTTACTTCCCTGATTTTTATTTTTTTTGAGGGTGAGATGAGAAAGAAGAAGAGGGGGGGTAGAAGTAAAAAGGAAGTTAATGAAGAAAATGATACACACAGATTATTTATATCCACTTCTATGTAAGATATAAATATTAAAGTAGATGTACTCTTTTTATTCACATTTCTGTCTAAACTCGTACTTTCTCTCTCTATCTCTCCCTCTCTCTTAAATTTTGCTCTGTTAGCTTGGAAAAAGATTCATACATAACCATACAGAATTTTTGAGATAAAAATATTATGATGAATGATCTTTTCATGAACAGTAGATGGGTTTCGGTTTTGTTAATACACATTTCCTATGAATGAAATATGGTGAGGTGGTCAACAGTAAGACTCTGTGTCTTTCAACATTATATTCTGTCAAATATGATAATTAATTTGCGTAAAAATATTACAGCATACTAAGCTAACACCTCTTGAATTTTAATGGTTTATTCAAATCATCGTGTAAGCAAAACCAAACGGAACTGAATCACTAAATGAAGTACAGTGATTAGAGTCACTTTGCAAATGTATGGAGCGAAACCTAAGAATCTCAATTCGTCTCCAAATCTCAGTTATGACTTTGAAACTATTCCAA